TTTTTTTCTTGCCTTTTGGTGAGGCAAATGGGGTTAAGTGACTTTGTCAGGGTCACACTCAGGTCCTCCTGACTCCGAGGCCACAGCTCTATCCACTGCGCCACCTATCTGCCCCTACGCACCTGGCTCTCTCCCACGCTGCCCCATCACTGTCCGGGGTACTGCTAGCGCTGCCCCTCCAGCCTCCGGGTTCAGAAGTGCAGCACTGTCCCTCCCCCTTCCCCCCACTCCCAGATGACTCTGGAGCCCAATCTGACGGCTTCTCCCTCCAGGACATTTTGGGCATCCAAAGCCTTTTCTCCTCACAAAACCACCACCTTAGCTCAGTGTCCCTCTGCTAGATTATCACAGCAGCATGCTCCAAATGAGGCATATCTCCCTTCAATCCTGCTGCCTCGAAGATGCCAAAGCGCAGATCTCATCCCGTCCCTCCCTCACTCTCTCAATCCCTATGGCTCCCCACGGCCTCTCCCATCAGAGATTAACTCTGCTGTTTGGTCTGGAGAACCTTTCCCACCTGGACTCCAAGTCTGTTTCCCGCCTCAGTGGCCTTTTCTCCCCCTCCCCCACAGAAGCCTTCCCTTCTTTGCAGACTGGGCTCAGGCTCCAGCTTCTGCAGAAAGTCCTTCCTGATCCTGACCCCACAACAGCTGGTGCCCTCTTTCCCAATGGCCGATCTACGTGGTCTTAATGTTTATGCTCTGTGTGCGCGCACGTACTTGCTGCTATTAGAATGAGAGTGCCATGTGGGTAGGGATCTCACTGGTTGTCTTTGTAATGCCATAGTGGGGCACAGCACCGGGCACACAGTAGGCACTTAGTAAATGCGATGGGTTGATCTCTCTTGATGTCCTGTCTCTTTACAGGTTATATCTGAGCAGGTTCCTGCTCCTGCACATCTCTCCCACGGCCCCTTCTCTCCACTCACACCATCACCTCTCCTAGGCCCTTGGGCTCCCCCATGTCTCGGCCCCAGGGCCATCTCTCTTCCACAGCAGCTGCCAACGGGAGGCGCCCAGGACATAGGGCTGCCCGACTGCTCCTCTGCACCAAAGCTCTCCTGGCTGACCCTGCCTCTGGCATCAAGGCACACTCTACCTAATGTGGCATTCAAGGTCTGGCATCATCTCGAATCAGCACACGTCTTCTGTTCTGTGCCAGGCCCTGGAGATGAGCCTACATGAGTATTAGCTAACGTGGATAGAGCTCCTACTGTGTGCCAGGCATTGGGCTCAGCGCTTCAGAAATGCGAGCATTGAAGCCTCACAACACAGGGAGGTAGGCGCTGTCATTATGCCCACTTTACAGCCGAGGAAAACTCGGCAGGAGTCCGGTGACATGCCCAAGGTCACACAGCCAGATACAAAGATGAAAACAAACCAGTCTCCGGCCTTCCAGGAGCTTACAGTCTGCCTGAGGAGACAAGGGTCCGGCACCAGGGTAAGTAGATACAAAGTGGATACAAAAGAGATACAAAGTAGCCCTGAGGACTGGAAGGCGGAGCAGAGGTCTTGAGGGTGGAGGTGAGGGGGCAGCGCAGCCAGTTCCTTTCCGACTCTGTGCTGCCTCAGTCTCTCCCTCTGCAAAATGTGTCCTTTAAGCTCTGGACAAGTGTGCCCTTATGAAAGGGAAACTCAGCTTGGAGACCCTGGGGAGCCCTGAACAAGATGGCAAAGGGCCCAGTCCCTGCTTCTCTCCCGGGCTCCCCGCTAGGAGGATCAGCTGGCTGGCCCCGAGGCGGCACGCTCAGAGGCGTCGGAGCACACCCGGCTCGGGCAGCCCCAAGAGGCCCAGGCCCCGCCCCTAGCCGGCTCTCTGCGGGCCGGGGACACACGCATGCGCACAATGCGCCCAGCGAACCCCGGGGGCGGGGTCAGGAGAAAGCTCAGCGCCCGGGGCCCTCCGCGCGTGCGCAGCTCGGTGCAGGGGTGCGCCGGAAGTGCTTCTGCTCGGGAGCCGCGGCGCGCCGGAAGTACGTGTCAACGTGCCGGAAGTGCGCGGCGCGGCGCGCCCCTGCGGACATGGCGGCGGAGACGCCTCGGACCCGGGCCGCTCCCGGGCCACAGAGGCTGGTGCGGCTGCTGCTGCTCCTCGCGGCCGCCGCCATGCCGCCGGGCCGGGCCCAGGGAGACGAGTTCCGGCCCGGCCAGTGGGGGGCGGCGGCGGGGGGCGCGGCGGCCGCGGCGCGGGGGCGCAGGTGAGCGGGGCCCCCGGGGGGGGGGGGGAGGCGGGGGCGTTGGTGCCCCGGGGGGGCCCCAGCGAGGGGGGCGGGAGAGGGCACCAGAGGGGGGACGCTTATGGGTTCCCTTTTACAGAGTGGGAAACTGAGGCCCACACGGGCGAAGTGACTTTCGCAGAGTTACGCGGTGCAAGTCAATAAGCGCCGACTGAAAGGGAGGCTGGGAGGGGCCTCCTGCCTCCCCCGTTACGGAGGGTCTTCAGCTGGCCCCATTCCTGGTGCCCCCGGCCCAGGCAGCCCTGAGTTCAAATCCAGCCCGAGGGGCCTCAGCTTCCTCATCCCGCCCCTCCCCCTCCGGGCCCTCCCGCCCGGGACTGACCCTCCGCGCACGCGCGTCTCCTCCCCCGGCTCCCCCAGGGCCGGAGTCGGGAAGCCCTGAGTTCAAATCCAGCCCGAGGGGCCTCAGCTTCCTCATCTCAGAAATGGGGTCCCCGACTGCTGCCCCCGCCCCTCCCCCTCCGGGGCCCTCCCGCCCGGGACTGACCCTCCGCGCGCGCACGCGCGTCTCCTCCCCGGCTCCCCCAGGTACCTCCTGTACGACGTGAACCCCCCCGAAGGCTTCAACCTGCGCCGGGACGTCTACATCCGCGTCGCGTCCCTCCTGAAGACCCTGCTGAAGAGCGAGCAGTGGGCGCTGGTCCTCCCGCCCTGGGGCCGCCTCTATCACTGGCAGAGCCCCGACATCCGCCAGGCCCGCATCCCGTGGGCCCACTTCTTTGACCTTCCGAGTCTCAGTAAAAACGTCCCTGTAATCGAGTACGAGCAGTTCATTGCAGGTAAAGTGCTCGCCCTGCCGGCCGACCCAGCCGGCCCGGGGGGGCTCCCGGCCCTCCCCCGGGGAAGCTCCCACCGGCCGGGTCCTGCCACGGGGGATGGGTGGACGCAGCCGGCCTCGGTCTCGGGGAGAGGGGAGCGAGTGCAGCCCGGATACACGACAGGAGCCGATGCCATTCCGGAGGGAAGAGCTCGCGGGGTGCCTACTGTGCGCCTGGCCCAGCTCCGTAGAGGGAGATGGGCCCTGCCCTCAAGGCCTTTGCCTTCCAGTGGAGGGAGACAGTGTGGGAACATAGATAAACACGTAGAGAAACACTGTGGTGTGGGGTGGGAGCCTCGTGGGGCACCGGCTGCTAAGTCTGGGAGGAAGTAAGAAGCCGGAGGCAGGAAGACCCACCGGCCGGGTGGCCCTGGGCAAGTCACGTAGCCTGCTCCGAACGTCTGTAAAGACCTTCACGTGTTGCCTGCGTTGGCTCGCTGGCTGTCAAGTGAGATTCTGAGAGGGAGAAGAGAGGGAAGTGGAGAAGGGGCTCCTTCTCCTTTGGGGAGCGCTCACTTGTGCCCTGCGTGGGCCTGACTCCTCCTCTTCCTCCCCATTGTTTCTTCTGCCTCCTTGTGTCACTTATTACCGGGGCTGGTCAGTTACTCTCTTCAGGCCTCAGTTTCCTCCTCTGTAAAATGGACTAGACAGCTTCTGAGGGCCCTTGCATGGTGGCCCCTCAGGTATGGAAGCTCGCTGCCACGTCCCCCTGAAGTCCTCAAGAGGCATGAATGCAGGGCCCTTGACCATGCCGGTTACCTTCCTCTGGTCTTGCCCACCCAGCCCACCTGGGCACATCGTGATGCCCAGAATTGAGCCCTGTGCCCTTGATGTGCTTTGGGACAGAGTTCCAAGAGGAGTCTTGCACCCCTGCCCCAGGCCTGGACGTTAGGCCAGTCCCCCTTTGGGGCTGTCGGGTTCCCTTGTACCTCGTGAGCTGGCCGCCCACAAAACCTCCCAGGCCTGTTGGAGGGGAGCTTCATCCATAGCCATGTCTCTGTCTTGTACGTGGAACATTGATTTTTTTTTTTTTTACCTGAGCGGAAGACTTTCCATCTGTCCCTATGAAATTCCATCTTCGACTTGGCCCAGGGTTCCAGGCTGCCCAGACCTTTTTGGAGCCAGACTCCCTCTTCCTGGCTTTGTGCTGTCTCCACATTCGATAAGCTTGCCGTTTTTCTGAAGTTACCGATGCGGACGTTCAACAGCACAGATCCCTGGGCCCCTCACTAGTGCGCTTCTGGGCCGACATCGAGTCTGGCGGTTCAGCCTGGTCTGTGTCCGCCTAATTGTGTCCCCCTCTGGCCCCCGGCTCTCCATCCGATCCAGGAGGTGAGCTCTTGCATCCCCCTGAGCCCATCGGCTGACCTGGACTTGTCCTGCCGCCTCCTCCTGCTCAGTAATTCCCAAATGTTTGTTTATTTCCTGCTCCTTGATGACAGAGTCTGACGTTTTCCACAAATCACAGGCATTCACTGGCCTGTATTGTACAAACTGCAATCTTCCCTGCCTTGGAAATAGCAACATTGTCCTTCCAAGGTCGTTGACTGTGGCCAGGGGATGTCTGCCAGCTGTCCAGGGGCCGATCTGGACTCACCCAGGGCAGCTCAATGTTTTTTTTATTTTATTTTTTTCATTTTTAGGTACATACTTATTTTTTTTATATTATGGTAATTTTTATTTACTTTTTTGTTTTCAACATTTACTTCCACGAGATTTTGAGTTCCAAATTTTCACCCCATCTCGCCCCTCCCCCCACCCCAAGATGGCATGCATTCTAAATACCCCTTCCCCTAGTCTGCCTTCCCTTCTATCTCTCCCCCCCTTCTCTTATCCCCTTCCCCTTCTATTTTCCTGTAGGGCAGGATGGATTTCTGTACCCCATTTCCTGTATTTCTTATTTCCCAGTTGCATGTGAAAACTTTTAAACGTGTTTTTAGAACTTTGGGTTCCAAATTTTCTCCCTTCCTCCCTCCCCACCCACCCTCATTGACAAGGCAAGCAACTAAATATAGGTTATATGTGTGCAGTTATGGAAAACACTTCCATAGTAGACATGCTGTGAAAAACTAGCTCTATTTCCCTTAATCCTATCCCACCCACCCCCATTTATTCCATTCTATTAATAGGACTTGGGGCCTGGAATCAGAAAGACCCATGTTCACATCCCTTCCTCAACCGCTTATTAGTCGTATGACCCTGTCTGCCTCAGTTTCTTCAACTGTAAAATGGGAGTTGTAATTGCCCCTACCTTACAGGGGGCTATCTATGAGCACAATGGATGCCTGCTCCCTCTTTACCCGTCTTTAGCATCCACCTTTGTCACTGTTTTTCTTCTGCCCCTTTCAGCTCAAAGATCACTCTTTGGCAGAGAAAGCAGGAATGCAGAGGAGTTCCGCCCTCTGTCCGTTGTCTGTCATCTTTGTCCTGGCCACCAGGCTGCCCTAGTAGATGTAGAAAAGCCAGAACCCCCGTTCCTTACAGGCATTAGCCTGATTCAGCCAAGCAGCGCGGAGGAGAGGGAGGGAGAACGGGGCAGAGGGACGCAGGCTCTTCGAGGCCTCTGGTGTGGGAAAGGCTCACACCCCCAGCTGCAGCTGAGGCCCCCCGGGGTGGTTGTGCCCCCTCGAGGGCAGAGGAGGCTGCAGCAATAACACGGGGTGGGGGTGGGAGGGTCGTAGATGGGGCAGCTGAGAGGGAAGAAGGGCCCGTGGCCAGGGCCAGCCGGGGGCGCATGAGTACAGTCGGTGCAGGTTTCCTCATGCCACATTTGAAATTAATGTCTGATTTTAAGTCTCTGATTATTGAGGTCGTCTTGGGAGGCTTTTCCTGCCCAGTTTGGAGGCATTTTCTTCAGTGCCCTTGGCCTGTTCAACTCAATGACATCCAGAAGCCACTTTTTTTTTTAAGGCAATTGGGGTTAAGTGACTTGCCCAGGGTCACACAGCTAGTAAGTGTCAAGTGTTTGGTCTGAGGCCGGATTTGAACTCAGGTCCTCCTGACTTCAGGGCTGGTGCTCTATCCACTGTACCACCTAGCTGCCCTCCTTCTGTGTGTGGAGGCATTTCAGAGTTGATTATGCCCACACAAAAATGGGTAGCCTGTTGGGGAAATTCTGCTAGACTTGCACCGCCTCCGCAGGGAACAATGCACCCTTTCATATTGCATCTTCACACCCGTGCCGAACTTCTTTTTCAGAATCAGGCGGCCCTTTTATCGAGCAGGTGTATGTCCTGCAGAGTTATGCAGAAGGCTGGAAAGAGGGGACCTGGGAGGAGAAGATTGATGAGCGGCCGTGCATCGATCAGCTCCTGTACTCCCGGGACAAACACAACTATTATCGGTAGGTGACACGATGTGGCCCTGGCACCTTCCTCAGGTCTGTTGGCATCAGCCTTGGGGCTGGCTGCTGAAAGCGGCGTGGGCTAAGGAGTGCCAATGCTGGGGAATGTTTAAACCTAGAAAAGGGCGTTGGTCCACGTCGGCGTCTGTGTCCTGCTTAGATCTTTTAAAGGAGGGTTATTTTTCCTTCACATCACAGATTTTATCCGCGGGCTCTCCCTCGCCTCAGATGGTTTTTACACATTCTGAAGTCCAAGACACTAATGCAGCTGACCTTCAGGCAGGCAGGTAGCCCCCCATCCGTGTGCCCTGGGAAGGCAGGAAATACCGTTTGTAAATAGAATCTGCATTTTCACTTTCAAAGCCACTGAGCCCCCCAGTTCTTCTGGAGGCAGAAGCTGGTGAGGTCCCCTGGGGGCACTGGAGGTGGGACAGCTGCCCTTCCAGCCCCAAATTCTGTAGTTTCCTGACTCGTCAGCGTTAGATGTTTTTTGAGCACGTGGGTTTGACGTGGTACAGTTAACGCTGAAGCCTCGAAAACAAGTTAGTTCTGTGTCACTGTCCATCCTCCTCTTCCCTTATTTTGCTAACACTTGGTTTCAGTAAATTCAACCTTCTAGCCAAGACCAAAAATGAATGGGAGAAGCCTCATTGATCCAGCTCAGATTTTCTGTTCCCATTGATCTGAACAAATTGAGAAGAGCCTTCACAAACCGTGACGTTCAGCTAGGCACTGATTAGTGCCCACGATGACCCCACGAAGCCATGAAAAAGATTAGGTTTTGTACTGTTGGAGTCATTGGGTGCAGCCCCCAGGAGCAACGACGGGGGGATGGGAATAATGCACCCACTTCCCAGGATGCCGTGCTCCCGTCCAAGGTCGAGCACTGCAGCCCATTGAGGAGTTCTCAGGGGTGCAGGGGTTAGGATGTGAGCGTGCTGGTGTGTGCACCATCCACACCTCTGTCTGTTTTCCCTACAGAGGATGGTTCTGGGGCTATGAAGAAACAAGAGGTTTGAGTGTATCTTGTCTGTCCGTCCAAGGCTCCGCGTCCATCGTCGCCCCAGTGCTTTTGAAGAACACGTCAGCCCGGTAAGCGGCCTGGTCTGTCAGCCAGCATCTGCCAAGTGTCTGCGGTGGAGGCGTGGCCGTGTCTGCTCAGCATGTGCTGTGCTGCTGCCCTTGAGGCCCTGCGCTGCTCTAGATCTCACAGTCCCTTGGCTCTGGAAGGTGCTGGGGGAGGAAAGGCAGGGCAGGGGAAGTGCACGGTGTGGTCCTTCATTGGAGCAGCCTCCTGCCTGGCTAGGGCCTCGAGATCTCCACACACAGATGGAAGGCGAGTGGGCCAGGATAGACCTCATCGGGGATCGGATTGTTTGGGACTCCCCCAAGGCAGAGTCATGAGCTTTGTGGAGAAAGCATGAGACCCGGGCTGCTCTGTGCAGGAGGGGCTGGGGACACCAGGTGCCGCCAGCGTGTTCTGTGTCATGTTTCCTCAGTGGGGTCTAAGAGGGGCCAAGGAAGGTGCAGTGGAGGGGCAGGTCAGCTCAGGCTGTGTTTGGGGCCTGGCGTGGCCGCCCTGAGACCAGTGAGATTGGCAGAGGCCCCGGGTGGCCCAGAGCGAGTGACAGTGTGGAAAGGGGAACTTTGTGCACTCTGGATTTCCTTTCCCTTACTGAGCTGTGTCTGGTCCACCCATTTCTATGTCCTGAGAAAGGCCTAGCCTGGGCTCTTCTCATCTGTTTTTCGTTTGGGCTCTGTGTGCGTGACCCTCTGCTTCTCCCTCTCTCCCTCACGGGCTGACTGTGGCGAGCCTTGGAGCCTGGGACCCCCTTGGGGACGATGAACTCCTTGAAGGGAGGCACCAGGCCTCCCCTCTGCGTGCCAAGGACAGTGCTCTGTGGCAGTAGAGACGGGGTAGTTACTCACCGTGAGGTCTTCATTTTGTGATTGTGGAAGAGCGGATCTCCTTTTCTGTAACCTTGGTATACCTTTCCTTTCTCCTCTTCACCACTCTCTGACCTGCTGCTCATAGTACAGGTGAATCACAGAGCTTAGCTGCTGAGAGAGACCCTCAGGGTCATCTCGGCCACTTGTCCATCTGCTCAGTCTGGGAGTGGAGACCCGGGGGCCGCCTTAGTGGTGGGATGTGATGGAGATGAGGTTGGTAGGCTTCCCAGCCCCTCCGTCTCTCCTTTACTGTGCCTCCCCGGGACATGGGGCTGCCACAGATGAGTGACAGCAGCTGCCGTGGGCCTGGGGTAGCGCCAGACGAGGCCTGTGGCCTGGGAACTGAGCGGGGGGACGCCCCCCTCAGAACCTGTCTGCCTTCCTTTGGCTGCATCCTGCGTGTGATTTCCGAACTCACAGCATTCCCTGATTCTGTCGGCCAGGGACCTTTGAACTAAAAATGTCATTGGTTCGTTGTTAAGTGTAGAACATTGGTAACTGTTAGGTTTGGGGGCCCCCAAACTGGAGCCGCTGCGGGTCTCAGCATTTATGTTCGTGTTGCCACGACAGGCCTGATTGCTGGCATAAAGAGTGCGCTATGGTGAGCAAATGTGTGCTCATCGATGGCAATGCCGTGTGCTTTCAGTCCCTGTCTCCCATGAGGAGGTGGCCTCACTCCTGACCAGGCCGTCCTGTCACATCCCGTCTCCTGTGTCATCCCTCTTTTCATTTTTCTCCAGTCTTTCTCTGTCCACTGGCTCCTTCCGTCCCGCCTACAAGCAGGCCCATGTCTCCCCCATCCTGAGCAAACCCTCACTTCACCCTTCTGTCCCTGATAATTCTGGTCCCACAATCTCTTCTGCCCTTTGTGGGGAAACTCCTCCAAAAGCCCGTCTACACCAGCTGCCTCCACTGTCTCACCTTCAGTCTCTTCGTAACCCCGTACAGTCTGGCTTCTGGCCCATCATTCCTCTGCCCCCTGCAGAGTGACCAATGATCTCTCAGTGGCCTCTTCTCAGTCCTCATTCCCCTCGACCCCTCTGCAGCCCTGGACGCTGTGGGTCTCTCTCCTCCTGGATCCTCTCGTCCCTCTAGAGCTGTGGGTCCCCGCACACTCTCTCCTGATTCCCCTGCTCTGCTGGGTCCTTCTCCAGGTCACCCCCTCTAACCACGGGTGCCCCTCAGGTTCTGTCCTGGCCTCTTCTCCCTCTGTGCTGCCTCACTGGGGATCTCCTCAGCTCCCATAGGTTTAATGACAGTCTCTGTTGAGATGATTCTCAGATTGACCTTTGCTGCCCCAAAACTCTCTGCCAAGCTCCCATCTTGCCTTTCCAACTGCCTTTCAGACATCCCCAACTGGACTTCCAGCAGACGTCTTAAACACAGTGTGTCCAAAGTGGAGCTCGTTATCTTTTCCTCTAAACCCCACCCCTTCTTCTCCTTCTCAGTTGCTATGGACGGTACCACCCTCCTCCCAGTCTCTTAGGCTCCCCAGCTAGGAGTCATCCTGGACTTCTTACTCAGCCCTTAGCCCCCATCCAATATGGTGCCAAGGCCTGTGGATTTCACCTCTGCAGCATCTCTCTACAGTACGCCCCCATAGCCACCACCCCAGTGTAGACCTTCATCCCTTCACACCTGGATTGTGGCAGTGGCTGCTGGGGGGGTCCGCCTGCCTCGGGCCCCACCCTCAGTCCATCCTCCACTCAGCCACCAAAGTGATTTTCTTAAGCAGCAGGTCCGACCATGTCGCCCCCTACTCAGTAAGCCCCAGGGTTCCCCGTCACCTCCAGCAACAGATACAAAATGCTGTGTCTGGCGTTCAGAGCCCTCCTCCCTCTCTAGCCTTCTCACACATTAGCCCCTGACATGTGCCCTTCAGTGCCCCCGTCCTCCCGGCTGCTCCGGGAACACGACCCTCCGTCTCAGTCTCTGGGCCTGGAACGCCCTCCCTCTGCTCTTACCACTGAGCTCCCTGACTTCCTTCAGTCCCCACTCAAATCCCCCCTACTCCAGGAAGCCTCTCAGCCCCTCCTGGGTCCAGGGCCTTCCCTCTGGTCACTGCTTCCCCATTGTCCTGTTTGTCCAGCTCCATCTGCATGTTCTCTTTCCCTTTAGATTGGGAGCTTCTTGAGGGCACAGGGACTCTTTTGCCTCTTTTTGTATCCCCAGTGCCTAGTACAGCCTGACAAACAGTAGGTGCTTAATAAATGTTGATTGATTATCCACATTTGTTGATTGGAGCTCTTCAGAGCTGTTTAGTTGTCATGATCTAGATGTTAAAATGGTAAACTTAAAGAAAAGAGGATAAGCTGGCCATCACTAAATAACCTTGACCCTGGGATAGTAAGTCCAGGAATACAGGGGGCCTCCCTGGTGCTGGACGTGTTACGAGGTTGGATTGGAAGAGAGGGTTTCCCACGGAAACCACGTTGTCCTGTGATGAACAGTGGAGGTCACTGGGGAGGTTGAGGTGATCCCTCCCTCCCTCTCTCCTTCCCTCCCTCCATCCATCCCTCCCTCCCTGCCTCAGGGGTCAGTGGGGGGAGGGCATTCAGGAGCAGAGCAGAACACTTTTGGGATGGACTTTGCCAGTCTTAAGGGGCTTTTTGATTCTGGAAGGAGATGGAGGGGCTGCAGCAGATTTCGGGAGGGGGTGAGGGCAAAACAAGCTTGAAGAAACAAATGTGAATTTGATTATTTTGTAAATGAAGAAAATGTCACCTCTCTCTCCTCTCTTTCTTTTTTTAATCATCTTAAATTAGATCAGTGATGTTAGACAGAGCCGAAAACCTCCTTCACGACCACTATGGAGGCAAAGAATATTGGGACGTGAGTATCTCCTGGGATGATGTACAGTGTGGTACAGATGGTTTACATTTCTGCTTTGTTTCTGAACAGTGCTGGCACACCATTCTTCAAGCCTAGCCAGTCTATGTTATTTTGGCCTGGCGGCGAGTAGATTGCAAACCTCGGCCTGAGAAAGCAGGAGGCAGAACTAATTCTTTCTGCAGAAAGAATTAAAGAATTCCTTCTGCTGGCATTTGGAAAGGTCTTGGGGGGCTCTGGAGGAAAGGAAGGTGGTGCAGTCCTTCCCTGAAGGCCGTCCCCGTGGCCGCTTCCTAGGATCTGGAGCTGGGAGCACTCGGTGGCCGCCTCGTAGCCCTCATTTTATAAATGAGGAAACTGAGGCACGAGGTGAAGTGACTGACTTGCACAGGGTCACCCAGGAAAGAAGCGGCAGACGTGAGTTCTGTACATTTTAATATTCTAGTCTCGGAATTGTCTTTGGAAAGAGGCAGGCCCTGGCTCAGGCGTCAGGCCCAAATCCCTGTCTGCCAGAGCTGCACTAAGCAGGGATGCCTCCCCTTCACTGGCGAGCCTTTCAGCCAGCAGAGGGTTTCGAGCCTTCTTGCTTGGCTGCCCACATGCTCAGACCCAGGGACATTTTGGGGGAGGCTCCCTTATTGTCCTTCGGAGCCTCCATCTGACTGCTGACTGAGCTGTGGTGGGGGAATGTGTTTTCATCGAGCCTGGCTCCCCATTGCAGCCGGGTCTCAGACAGAAGCAGGCTGTGGGGTATGTGGTGCTCCCTATGGTGAGGCTGGCACACAGCCCCCAGGGCGGTCAAGCCGTGACCAGGATTGTGGCGGCCCCCCACATGGGCTGTTTCCATTGTTGGGTGGTGACTGCATCATTGCCTGCTTTCCCAGGTGCCCTTCACTCCCACACCCCGGCTCTCCTGACTTAGCATCTGGGACAGCCCCAAGGCAGGTGAGCAGAGCCCAGAGGCAGAGCTCTGAGTCACAGGCCAGGGAGTGACTGAGGCCCAAGGCTGCTGGGTTAAGAGAGGCCCGTAAGCTGGGCCCCCTCAGCAGCACCCCGACGGGGAGGCCTTCAGTCCCCACCCCAGGCGGTGGAGTGCAGAGCTGAATCTCAGTTCTGGGCCCATTCTCCAGGCCCAGCTCAAGCCCTCTTAGGGTGTGGATGGCTTTTTCCTTTGGTTCTTGGAAGGCTACTTTGTGCTCTGGTGACTCAGGAGGAGGAATGGAGTTTTAGGAGAACATTTACCGTCTAAGTCACGGGAGTATGGAGAGGGACAGCCTGTGGGTGGCACGTCATCGGGAGAGTAGTGAGTGCCCGGAGTGTCCAGAGGCAGGCCCTGGGGGGAAGGGCCTTGGGAGCAGGCCGTAGGATGGTCAGGTAAAGGCCTGGGGAGGGGAAACCTGGACGAGGGAAGACCCGTAATCAAGTGTGTGAAGGCCTATCCTGTGGAAATGGACCTGGCCGTGTCATCGTCCTCGTGGGGAATGGGCTGCACCCTCCCTGGAGCTCTGTGAGCGTCTTCTGCCGTCTGTAGGCCACGTTACAGGCGTGGATGGGACTGGAGCCACGGAAAAGAGATTCCTTTTGGTGTTTAGTGCATGGGGAAAATGAGTTTTCTGCTTGTGCTGATGACAAGGCATGTGCATCCACCTGCGAACCCTTGTCTCTGGCTTTTGCGGGGGGGGGGGGGGGGGCCCGAAGCCCGTGGGTGGCTGCAGTCCTCCCAGAATGACTGAGGCCTTGTTTGATTCATTGTTGACTTGGTAACAAGCCAAGCTGGAAGTCTTCTTCTCCATACCTTGGGGCTTCTTGTCAGGAGGTGTTGGGTAAGAATGACCAGAACCCCCTCTTCTCCTCTTGTCTTTGAGCCCAGCAGAGGACCCCAGGCCTGCTTGGAGGCAGCTGGTTAGGTTTCCTCACGTCCATCCTTTGCTGCTGGCTGGTTAGCTTTGTTATGACCTTCGGCAAGTCCCCTAGCCTCCTGCCTCCACCTTAGGGGCCTCCTCCCAGCTGTTTGAAGGACCACAGGAGGTGTGGTATGTCTACAGGGCTTTGCAAACCTCCACATGGGCTTTAGACAGGAGCTGCTCTTATGCTAGCTTGTCCAGGGTGAAAGATGCACTTAGGCCCTTCCTGACTCATAGGAAAGGGTCATGTCAGCCACTTGGATGAGGAAGTGGGGAGAGAGGAAGAGAGAGACAGAGAGGAGAGAGGGAAAGAGACAGGGGAAGGAGGCTGGTGAGGGGAAGAGAGATGGAGGACAGAGAGAGAGGACAGGGGGAGAGAGTCAGACACAAGCCTCTGAATCTCAGTGTCCCTCTCTGTAAAATGGGGGCAGTCTTCCACCCCAGGTGTGAGGCCACAAAACTGCCCCCACGCACTGATGGCTGGCCTCTGATCTTTGCACAGAGCATGTGCCACGATGGATCCATAACCAGCTGCCCCTTTGTGACTGCGGAGCACTCTCGTCTTGCGAGAATGCTCAGGGAACCTGGAGCCCCACAAGGCACAGTGGCTATAGCATGTTCAGCAGGGCTCTGTGCCGAGTGATCCTCTTTGTGTGAGCGAGGTGCCCTCACTTGTGAAAATGCTCAATACCCACATGTGTTCTCCCTCCCTCCCTTCTCTCTCTTTCTCTTTCCTTCTCTCCCTATCTTTCTCCTCTCTCCTTCCTTCCCCTTCCCTCTTCCCTCCCTTCTTCTCTCTCCCTCCCTCCCCCTCCTTCTCCCACTTCCTCTCACTCCCTCTTTTTCTCTTCTCTTTCCCTCTTTCCCCTTCTCTCCCTCCCTCCCTCCCCCCTCTCATTCTCTCCCACCAATGGCTCTTGCCATGAACGTGGGTCTTGATTAGGCATCGAAAGTTTGAGGTCATGAGATGAGGCACTGCAGACTTCAGAGTTCTGGGCTGGGCTGGGGAGTACAAGGGCTCAGGACCCTGGAGGAACGGCCCAGGCTGGGAGCCAGGGGGGATGCCCAGGAGCAGCCGAAGGAGCTGCTGGGTCTTCATCGGGCTCTGCTCTGGGCTTCCTGGGGGGCTTTCCCAGTTCAGCTCGGGTTCAGCTCAGCAGCCCGGATGGCTCGGCCGTCAAGCAGTTCAGACAGAGATAAACTACATGCAGGTCCTGGAGGCAGTGGGTGGGCTGGAGTCATTCTTACTAGGCTGTGGGGTCAGCTGCTGGACAGCATGTCCCGGAGGTCTTAGTGTAGCTTCAGAAGTAGAAATGCTGCCGTCTTAGAAAAGACATCATTTGAAAGGTCAGGTATTTGTGTTCATTTCACACTTCATTGTGATTTTGGAATAATAAATTGTTAGTTTTGACAAATAGATCAGGGCAGCTTGTCCAGTAGGCCTTGCCTTTCTCTGACCGAGGGTTGGCAGGGCCTCTGGCGTGGCCGCCGTGGGCCCCTCATCTCCCCTGGACCCCTTCTGGAGGCTCAGAGCTCCTTCTGTGGTTGAGCGGACTCAGGGTGAGGAGCAGCTGGGGGAGGTTTTTACAAACTGGTGTGTGATTGTGCTAGGAAATGTGACAGGATTTTTGACACTGAAGTCATTAGCCTTTTGGGGTTTTGGAGAGCTTGTGGTGGTCACACTGTAGGTTATGTAAGCTCCAGGCCTCCCTCGAGCTTTGGGGACGCCCCCATGATGGCGAGGCGAGGCCTTTGCTCATCATTGTTTATGTTTGACAGACCCGTCGGAGTATGGTGTTTGCCAAACACCTTCGTGTGGTGGGAGACGATTTCAGAAGCAAGTACTTGAACTCCACCAATGACGCGGACAAGATAGCTTACAGTGAAGACTGGACAAAGATGAAGGTCATTTGTGCCACTGTTTTCTCCTTCCCTTGAGGGTCCTGTGCTGCTCTTCTGATTCCTTCCATGTTAAACTGGGCCCAGCTCAGGAATTCCCTTTGTCCTTCAGCCGTGGGATGTCACCAGAGTTACACCCGCATTAACTGCAGTGACCGCATGATCCTCCCCAGGCCAGCATCACAGACATAATGACTTTAGAGTCCTTGCCCTCAAGGGCCTTCAGAGGGCTGGGCCCTGCTCCCACGCCGCGCTTGTGACGGTAACAGAGGTCAGAACTGCGCGAGAAGGCTTGGCGTCGTCTTCCTGTGACGGCGATCTTGTAGACGTTGAGTGTTGGCCCAGCTAGCAAAGCTAGAAGACAGATTCACCATGTGGGGTGGGTTGCGCCTCTTGGAACATTTTCTGTTTCACTGCCTCGGATTAAAATGGCTCTCTGTTAATTAATTGCTAGGAGGTCTTTATGAACTGTCATTTCAGCCCAGCTCCTGGTTGTCAGAGGACAGGGACAGATTTAAATAAATGAGAACTAGGTCCTCCCCTTAAACGTCCTCTCCCTAAATAAAATGATTCTCTTGACCAAATGCTCAAGTCGAGCTGACCCCACCCGGTCAGAGGTCCGGGGCCCTTTGGATGTAGCTGAGCTGGCTGAGCTTGTGCCCCAAGGAAGCTCTGAAACGCTGCTGTTGTGTTCCAGTCACAGCATGTGCTGGTTGTTCTCTGCTAGGTCAAGCTGGGCACCTCCCTGGGTGGTCCTTACCTCGGAGTGCACCTCAGAAGGAAGGATTTTATCTGGGGTCATAGAGAAGACGTGCCCAGTCTGCAGGGAGCAGTGAAGACCATCCGGAGCCTGATGGAGACCCACAAGCTGGACAGAGTGTTTGTAGCGACCGATGCCGTTAGAAAGGGTATGTTACGCAGAATGGTGAACCCCCTGGGCTCTCTCGCAAGGCCTTGCTTTCAGTAGAGTGGAGACCCAGGCCATCCCTTAAAGACTGGAATCTTGTTTTGCCAGTGGAAGGAAGGCCGAGTTGGTTGGTTCATTTTCTGATGTTTCCTCACCTTCTCCCCCAAGCAGAAGACCCACAAATTGCAGTGGGCCTTCATGGCCCTGGGCCCACTTCTTGGTGCCCTGTTTGTGTTTGGCCAAAGCCTCAGGCCTAGTGGCCCATGATGGGCCTTGTCCTAAGACCAGGATCATGTTGTCTCCTTTCAGAATGTGAGGAGCTCAAGAGGCTGCTTCCTGAAATGGTGAGGTTTGAGCCCACCTGGGAGGAGCTGGAGCTCTACAAAGATGGCGGCGTAGCCATCATCGACCAGTGGATCTGTAGCCATGCCCGGTAAGTCCTCCTCTCAGCGGGACTTTTGTTGACGTGAGAGTCCCTCTCTCGGGTCCTGTACATGCTCACAGTCTGATGGTGCCTCTTGTGTGTGACTTTGCCTGGGATCACAGAGACGGGGACCAAGGCAGAATGAGGAGCCAAGTGTAGAGCTCAGTCTCCACTGGCATTGGGGGAGATTAGATGGGGGCAGATGAGGATCTTTCTGTCACCAGGAGGGTGTGTCATCCCTGATCTTGGAGCTCATCTTATCTGCTGCAGGGTTGCTCCAATCTCCTTGACAGAACCCAAAGCCCTGGCCCATGGCATCCCATTCTCAAGCTCATGGAGTCCTCCCTCCTGTGCCACTTCCCGAGCCCTCTGAGGTTCCCAGCAGTCCCCTAGCCGCTGACTCCCAAGGCCTTTTGTCAGCCCTCACCCGTTGTGACCCCCTGCAGCTTGCGGTCCTTCCAGCCAGCCCTTTCCCCAATGCCTTCTCCCCGTTGGCTTTGCCTTTGTTCCCCTGGTTCTCCTGCTGCTGTGCTGGCTCCATTGTCTAGTTTGTTAGCGCACCCTCCATCTTTCCCCCCAAGCCGGGGCGTTCTCTACTCCGCCCTCTCTGATATTTCATAGGCTCCTATGGGTCTCACTTCTCCTTAGGTGCCTCCCCTAAGCTCAGGCCCTCATCTTTGGCCCCTTGCTCATGTCTCCTCCTGGAACATGCTCTGGATTGAGAAGCAGCCTACCATGGTGCACAGAGCACTGTCTTTGGAGTCAGAAAGACTTTGATTCAGATGCTAAGACGCTAGCTCTGGGACCCTGAGCATGGCATTTCACCTCTCTCTGCCTCAGTTTCTTTATCTGTAAAATAGGGATAATAATAGCATTATTAGAGCATTAGAGAGCATTGGCCTCTCAGGGTTGTAGGTGAGGATCAAACAGAGCCAGTGGAATTCAGAGATGTGAACTGCCACTGCTGCTGTAGCATCCCCTGAAGGGACCCTAACCCTCCGATTATAACCCCAAATGCCTCTGACTCTTTTTCTCCCCCCAGCCCCTCCTCCTGACTTGTTTCCTTTTGGGGGGGGGGGTTGAGGGACAGGAAGGAGACAGAACGGCTGCACGGTTATAAGCCTGAGTATAGTCACCTAGTGAGGGATGATGGAGGGAGATGGAGGAAGGCAGTCCTCTTTTTTCCACCTGTTCTGCCTCATTATGTCTCTCCTCTTTCTTCCTAACTTCTCCCCCTTTTGCTTGGACTGCTGATTCTAAACGTTGCCCTCTCCATTCTTTCCTCAGAGCTATAGCTTCCCAAGGCACAGAGCAGACCCCAAACCAGGAGCGTCTCCCTCCTCTTTGCCTCCTGGCCTTGAAGGCCCCCCACCCTCTGGCTCTTGGCCGTTCCCAGACTCAGCGCTCCATCTCATGGCTTGTGCCCAGGACATGCCTCCCCTCGTCCTTCCCTTAGGTGCCTCCTGGTCTCTCCCCAGTCCCCCATGTACTAGTGACCGTAAGAAAACTTAGTGTGCGTTGAATGATTGGATCAAATCTGCCACATGGAGGGAGGTTGTGACTGACCTGGAGCTGTGGCACCAGAATAAGAAGAGGGGACCGAGGAGAGAGCTCAGGGTTTGTGGTAATTCCGTGTGTGTGTGTGTGTGTGGATGTGAGTGTGTGTGTGTGTGTGTGTGTGTGTGGATGTGGGGGGGGATGTGAGTGTGGGGGGGGATGTGTGCCTGTGTGTGGGGATGTGAATGTGTGTGTGTGTAGGGGTTTGTGTGTGTGTAGGGATGTGAGTGTGTGTGGGGGGGGGGAGATGTGAGTGAGTGTATGTGTGTGTCTGTGTGCCCATGTGTGGGGGGGGGGGTGTCTGTGCAGGGGTGTGTGTGTAGGGATGTTAGTGTATATGTCTGTGTGCCTTTGTATGTGTAGGGGTATGAGTGAGCGCGTGTGCATGTGCGCACGTGTGGGTGTCTGCGCGTGTGCGTGCGTGAGAAGCGTGTCGGGCAGCTGTCATGGCTGTGCCCTCATCCCTCCGCAGATTCTTTATTGGCACCTCTGTGTCCACCTTCTCCTTTCGGATTCATGAGGAGAGAGAAATTCTGGGCCTGGACCCCAAAGCGACTTACAACCGATTTTGTGGGGACCAGGAACAGCAGTGTGAACAGCCCACCCACTGGAAGATTGCCTACTGAGGGCATGCCTTTCCTGCGCTTAGCACCTGCCCCCAGGCCCAGGAGCACCTTGTGTCCATTGCAGCGCCCCCTGCCTGTGCCCTGGACGCTGGCTTGAGAGGCCCGGTGTGGCCGGCTTCGCGGCCAGCCCCAGGGAGGGCAGACGCCCCTGGAGAGGAACCGTGGGGCTGGATGTAAATGGAATCACTGCTGGAGAGCCAGTGCTATGCTCGGCGGGGTGTCGGCTCTGGGCTGCGCTCCCTCGGACTCTGTTTACAGGACGGGCTTTGTCTGGAGCCATCGATGTAAGGCCCGGTCAGCACGTTTCAGTGAGAAGGGTTCTGAGGTCCAAGGGGACGTCGTTTGGGACGGTTTTCACAAGCCTTTTGTCCAGTTTTGAAATCATGGTTTAATCCAGATCCCTCCCCTGAGGCCAGGCCAAGGGCCCACTTGTGGGCACCACAGAGCTGACCAAAGAGTGTTTATTCTCCCCTGTAGTAAAGGAGACGAAAGTCAAGTCAGGTAGGCCCCAGAACAGCCCTGCTGGGCTTTGGGAGGGTGGACGAAGGCTCCACCATTTGCTTCCCTGAATAATGTGGACCTGGGGTCTCCCCTGAGCAGCCCCCCCGAGGGCGGATTCTGAACCTTGGTGGTTCTGTTCTAATTTGGTTTGTCCTGTCCAGGGAGAAGAGAATTCCTTCTCCGAATTCGTGTCTCCCTAAGGAGCCAGTACTGCTCACTCACGCCCCAAGCCCAGCCTCCAGGGGCTTCTTCTGCAGCTGTCCAATGGTGGGAAAGAGCCAAGGCCAAGGTGGACTGTTACTTTTAACATTGTTTTAGCTGAACTTTTTCCCCTCCTGGTCCCATTGCCTGTGATCCTAGTAGGTAGAATAGTACCCATCAACTTCAAAAGATACACCTTAGACAAGATATTGGCAGATTCACTGAATTTTTTGGGTCTGTATTTTTTTAAAAAATCATTTTTCTAGGTCTTTCCAACACTGCCCCCATTAGGAGTAGTTTTACCAAAGAAAATATGGGGCTGTACCATGGGCTTGAGGTGGAGGGGCAGAAGGAGTGGCCTCGGCCCTACCATGGAGGCCTGGGGTTCATCCCTTTCCTGGGACGTACGATCTTCTCTCACGAAACCTCCCCTGCTGGACAGATGATTTAAAGATGACCTCCTCGTCCCAGTTCTTGGGAGGACGTGTGTCAGCAGAGAAGATCAGGTGAGCCTGCAATCGCTGCTCGCACAGACTGTCTGCTGCCCCCTCTAATCAGGCTAGCGATGGTGTGTGGCCTCTGGCCCAACCCTGAGCAGGAGCACCTGGGCCCAGGTCCTGGGGAACCCTGTGACCTTGTCACTCAGGCATGCGTTGTCCTTCATTCAGCCTGCTTTTTAAAGACCCTTCCCCTCCTTCTGACTTCTAATGGAAAAAAGATGGTGCTCTCCTCCACACCCAGGGCCATGTGGAGCACTAGCAGAAGATTGATTTTTTTTCCACATGTAAAGTCAAGTATTACGAATAAAATGAAGTTTCCAGGAAGCTTGTGGCCTGCAGATGGTGCCTTTTTATACATTGGACCTTTTTTTAGCCTAAGACCTATGCAGTAAGTTGTGGAATTCAGCTGTGTGCCTCCTATTTCTAAGGACAATAAAATGCTTTGTAGTATCTGGTGAGTGGCTTTATTCCCATGCCACAGGGCTGGCTGGGTGGCAGGTAGATGGAAGGATGAGTGGATGGGTGGATGGATGAGTGGATGGGTGAATCAGTGGGTGGATGGATGGATGAATGGGTGGGTGGATGGAGTGGATGGGTGGGTGGATGGGTAGATGGGTGGGTGGGTGGATGGATGGATGAATGGGTAGGTGGATGGAGTAGATGGGTGGATGGGTAGATGGGTGGGTGGGTGGATGGGTGGATGGATGGATGAATGGGTAGGTGGATGGAGTAGATGGGGGGGTGGGGGGGTGGGGGGGTGGGTGGATGGATGGCCTGACCCGATTGACAGGCAGTATTTCAACCAGAGGCTGCCAGCTTCACTTGACTTATATTCAAGAAAGGAAATAAGTATTTGATTAAGTACTTACTATGTGCCATGACTGTGCCAGGCACTTTACAAATAACTCATTTCTTCCTCACAACAAAGAGAGGTAGGTCCTATTGCCATTTTGCAGATGAGGAAACTGAGGCAGTCAGAGAAAGTGATTTGCTCGGGTTCCCACAGCTTCTAATTGTCTGAGGCAGGATTTGAACTGGGGTCCTGTCATCGAGCTCTGTGCTCTGTGCCCTGTGGTGCCCGCTAGCTGCCAAATAGTTTCGATCTGTTTGCTACAGGATTTGTTTCTAAGTTTCTACCCTTCCCTTTTTGTGTAGGGTAGCAGTTTAAGGTTCACCTGTCCACCCTGCTGGCTACTGTCAGACTTATTCTGTTGAAGACGACCTCAAATTCACCCGAGTTCTTGACTCCCCCCTCATGCAGACTCGGTCTAGCCCAGACGAGTCCAGCCCACTGTAGGTAGGCCCCTGGAGAGCATGAGGGCGAGGGGGGGCAGTGTTTGTGCAAGGAGCTGGAGGGAGCTGTGAGGGTTGTATCAGAAGGCAGGAGAGCTCTGCCCCTGGAGGCTGAGAATGGCCCATGGAGCCTGTGCCGGCCCAGTGGGCTGGTTCCTCCAGAAATCTGAAGCTAGCTCTGACGCTTAGAATACAACACACTGACATGTCTAAGACAGGGTTAGCCAACGGGCATTGTCCGTCTATGTGTCCTGCCTCTCTGTGGGTCCATCTCATCCCATCACACACTGGTTCTGTTACTTTGGAGCTCCTCATTGTAAGCTGGCCCCCATTGGCATAGGCCTGCCCATCGCGGGATGTTCATCCTTAGCTCTCATGTTTCTCTACCATGGAACTACCAGGCAGACTGTTGGTCTTAGAAAGAAGGGTCAATCAAGGGTAAGAGGGGAGGGTGGTCACAGATTCGGAGGGTCAGCAAACATCCCTAGAGGCCTCCAGGCCCATAGACATCGGGCCAGGAAGCCACTATACAACTGATCAGCCCCAGACTCGAGCTCATTCCACTTGGGTCTGCTGTGATGGTTGGCAGTTTGTGCTGATATCCGCCCTCGTTCTGCCCAGTGGGGCCAAGCGGAGCTCTGACAAAACAGCTCTTGGTGAACTTGAAGAGCAGTCGTGCGCCCCCGGGGTCCCCCAGACTCCAGGCTGGCAGCAGGATCCTCCCAGAGCCAGGGTCCCCTGGATCCCCCCATGAAAATAAGGCGTAGACTCCTCGGCCTCCAGTGGCAACGGGACAGGGAGCCCAGGTCAGTCTCCTTGGCCATGGTGTCTGTTTCTCTCTGTGCAGCACATTAGGTCAGCCTACTGTTAGCCTTGCCTCCCCTCCTGGAGTCACCTGTCTGTGCCTTTTGGAGCTGGGATGGACGGCATTCCTAGCAGGAGGGAGCAATCCAGCAGGAGCCTCCGCTCTGGACATCATCTCTCCCCTTCTAGGGCGTCCCCATCCCTGGTCCATCACCTTGCCAATGCCACCACCTGCTGACCATTTTCTTTCCTGCAGGGTCCCTGGGGCAGCTCAGCCTGGCCTCTTTTAGTCTGTGTTGGTCCCATCCAGGCTGTGTTGGGCAAGCGGAAAGGCCTGTCCAGGCCAAAAAGTGAGGCTGAGCTGGTGCATTTGGAGGCCAGCCAGCCAGCCTGGGGGCAGTGGTCTGGCTCTAGCTGGGGAGTGAGATAGGCATCCTCCTAGTGGGATAGCAGCCCCTCCCTCTTCCTTCGAAGATGCTCTTTGGCAGGAGACATACGATTCCTCCCCCGGCGTCCACCCTTGTGCTGGGCCTCTGTTCGTACCAGGCCGGCCATCACCAGTCCAGCTTTCCAGTTCTATGGCAGAGCCTTGGAGAGCCAGTGTGGGATGGGGGAGGGGCCCATGGAATACCTGGATGCTGGGAACACACTCTACCCATGCAGCTTCACTGATGGGTTTGAGAGACTCGGTCACTTGGAGCTCAGGAATGGTCAGTGACTCACCCAGGATCACGCAGCCACAGGATCACAGAGCCCGGCTCCCCCTGAACACAAAGGCCAGCACTCCCTCCACCAACAGCTCCCGTTCCTGTGACCCTTAGGACCACAGTGAGGGAAGCAGGCCAAGTACTTGTGCACAGTGTCTTGGCCTCTTGGGACCTTGGTTTCCCCACCTGAAAAAACACGGGGGCCTGCATGGATGAGGATTGGACTGGCAGCCATCAAGCCCCCAGGGGCAGCTCTGGCCTGCTTTCAGCACATGTTTCTGCAAGGCTAGCTCTCCAAGGGCGAGCCAGGAGCTTCGGGAGGGGCCCTGCCATTTTCCCAGTGTATGGGAGGTACCAAGGCAGCGCCCTCTTGGTTGTGGCCAGCTTCAGCCCCACCTCTGAGCTCCACATTGTGGATATGCCTGACCGCTGGAGCCAATGGATTAGCCATCCATTTGTTCCCAAAGAGGTTAGCAGCAGGGCCCTCACTCCTCTGCCTGCCTGGGTATATCCTGCAGTCCAAGGACAGCTGAGCATAGCCTCCTCGTCCCCTCATGCCCATGAGTCATGCCCTGCCACTCCGTGGAAAACACCTTCCATTCAGGGCTTCTGAGGATGCCTGGAACCATTAGCCCTGCTAGTGCTCTGAGCCAGTGTGGCTGGGGGCAAGATGGCAGCAGCAGGGAAACCTGAGCTGAGAGTGGGCCGCTGAGGGCAGGCAGGGCTTCCTCATGCTAGGATCAGGGTGGCCTGGGTGCCACCAAGTGGGGCTGGGGGGGGCAACCCTGAGAGAAGACCTCCTCCTCCTCCTCCTCCTCTCTCTCTCTCCCTTTCCCTCCCCCTCCCCCCATACCTAATGGTTTCATTCTGTCATTGGCTGCCTCTCCTGACATTTATTTAAATGGTTTTGGACCCCGGAGAAAGAAAGGAAGAGACAGAGACAGAAGAGACAGAGAGACACAGACAGACAGAGATAGAGAGAAAAGAGACAGAGACAGATACAGAGAAAGAAGAGAGAGACAAGAGACAGAGAAAAGAGACAGAAACAGAGA